GCTGAACTCCAGGCCAAGCTCTGCTTGCAAACTAGTCACCTTGTTCTGCTGATTCAGTGCAAAGATCTTTTCTATAATTCATCATGCCCAACTCCAGAGGAGGCCCCTTTTCCTGTGGATGCACCTGAGGGTTTGCCTTTCTTATTGGCTAACAATGGGTCTGAGTGGAGTGACGATCAGATAGATGGGCTTTTTGGGGTGACCTGTCTGGCCATGGTACAGAAGGTGACCTAGACACAGTATGAGGAGATAGTAAGCACGAAGAGCAAAGGGGTTATTCATGTAACAGGGACTTGACCAAAGGTAGAAGCCAAGAAGAAGGAAGGGAGGCCAGATCCAGAAGAAAGTTCTATAGAATTAATACTGGGTATCTTTATGGATGTAGGGACAGGAGGAAAGGGAAAAGTTGAAGCTGACTTGGATTGATTCTCCATTGTGTCCCTAGACCTACCCACAATTAATGCTCAACTCAGATTTGTCAAATGAAGAAAAACAATAGAGTTGCAAACAACAAAGACATTTGCAAGAGAGAGAGACTGTCTGCTTGGACAGAACTCTATTTCTAGGAAACAATTAGGCCTCCTAAACTCTGAGTGAGTTGTAGAGCTCAAAGCTCTCATCTGGGAATTCAGGGTTCCTCCTGTGCTGTGGTTCCAAGCCTTGCTTGAACATTCCAATCACTAGGGCAGGTTTTAAACATCCCAGTGTCCATACTGGACCCATCAACTCAGGCACTCTGGGGATGGGACCCAGACATCAATATTCCGTAAAGGTCCTGAGGTGATTCCAGTATAGAGTCGACTGCTCCCACTGAACTCTCCAACCCCTATTCTAGATTTCCAGATATGGCCATTAACACAGCATCAGCAAGAGTAGGGTCAGAGACAGGGAAGAATGGTCAAACATATTTGACCATCTTGTCACAATGAATCTTCCATGTCTTATGAAATCTTTGTCCATAGTGACCACTTCTTCAAAATTAATTCCAACATTTTGGCAAAAGATGAAAAAATTAAAGAAATCCATTACATTGTTTCACAAATGTTAGGAAACTGAATCATAGACAAAAATGTGGTGCAACATGAGGCCACCTTTTAAAATCCTAGTTTAAAAAATCAATAATGTACAGGTTTGGAAATTATCTTACAATCTCCTGATTTGGTGCTAAAGTTGTATGCATTCCAGGGGTCAGAAGGACCAAATACTAAAAAGAAAAGTTTACAAATAATTTAAGTAAAAAAGAGAATATTTTTGTACAGAGTTTTAATGTTCTTATTCTATCATTTTTAACTCAAAATTGACATAAAGGCAAGAAGAGCATTGCTAATCAAAGAGCTGTCCAGGGAAGTGTCCTTCTCAGGACATGGTTGTTTTTTATGATCACAACAGATAAGAATTTGAGAGTAAAAGCGGTGCCTTGGTGACTCAGTCTTTAAGCATCTGCCTTCGGCTCGAGTCTTGATCCCAGCGTGCTGGGATCGAGCACCACATTGGGCTCCCAGCTCAGCAGGAGGCCTGCTTCTCCCTCTCCCACTTCCTCTGCTTGTGTTCCCTCTCTTGTTGTGTCTCTCCCTGTCAGATAAATAAATAAAACCTTTAAAAAAAAAAAAAGAATTCGAGAGTAAAGTTTAGAAACTTTTATAGTAATTGGAAAAATCACTACTGAATCACATAACAAAATATTGAGCTCCTGTTTTATGCATTCTAGTGTTTTTATTTCCCTTTTCTAGTAATTTATTTTATTTTATTTTACTTTTTAAAATTATAAGCCCACAGCAAATTCAAAATTTTAAAAAATCAGTCTTTCACCATGGATAGTTTAGTTTGGGAAAATAGAGGACCACTATTCCATTTGAACATCTATGCAAAGGTGAACACAGAATGAAAAAAGTAAATACAGACAAATTCCTTTTTACCTTATCTGCTTGGAATTTATATTTTAGAGGTCTATTTCATTTTACCTTAGATGGTTGTATGAAAAGTTGTTTTCTGCTATAGGCTTATATGCATTGCTTAGAAGTTCTTTAAAAGAAAACATAAGAGGCGCCTGGGTAGCTCAGTTGGTTAAGCATCCAGCTCTTGGTTTCAGCTCAGGTCATGCTCTCCTTGTCATGGGATTGAGCCCCACATTGGACTCTGCACTCAGCATGGAGTCTGCCTCAGATTCTCTCTCCCTTTCCCTCCCACACTTTCTCTCTCTCTCAAATAAATAAATAAATAGAATCTTTAAAAAAGAAAACAAACACTAGAAAACAGGTGGTAAAGGAATGGATTAGCAGGGTTTGCTCATTTTCCAAGAGGAATCCCAATATCAGGTAACACAGAGAAGTTATTAATTCCTTTTGGGAAAGGGAGATTCCTCTTTTTAAGAAATAAGTCACTCTCTTTCGATTGGAAACAGCTAGCAAGAGTTTAATAGCATAAACTATTAAGGTAGAGACACCCTAGTTTAACTACAGGGAAACCTGCCACATGGCGATGATTTCTCCCGAGATCATGCAGCTGATGAATGAGGTCAGAATTCAAACCCAAGACTCTGTACGCTGACAGTGCCTTGCTCTCTCCGCCATTCCTCCATCCCAAGTGTTCCGGGGGGACCCTGAGAGTAGAGGCTTATATAAGCTTCACTTCCAGGAAACTGAGATAGGATAGTGAATATTAAAGTCATGTGGAATGTTTATGAATCTCCTTAAATGTAAATGTCCTCATTCTGTTTAGAGCTTTCGGCATATAGACAAGAGTGATGTATGTCCCGTACTGTTTTGCACATCACCCAGAAAAATATAACAGGAGAGGAAGCTTAGTGCTCTCAATACCAGCTGTCTCATGTTGAAACTGGTTGGATCTTGGTTGCTAATAAACATGCTCCAAAAGCAAACCATCTTGATTCTTTTAAGAAATAAGTGGGATATCAATGAGAAAATAAGTGAGTACCTAAGAAATATCAAGTCTTTGCCCGGATTATATAGGCCCTGTGAGGAATCCAGAAACTTCATTGATTAATTTTATACATGTCTGTTCAGTGAACTGAACTAAACAACTTTGCTACTTCAGAGAAGTAACTGTACAACAGATTTAAATTGCTGATCAGTTATTTGCCACTGTTACCTGGACAGCACAAGAAAACCATCCAGATATTCAATATATGGAAAACCAAAAAATTTTAGTGCATATTTTTGACATCGTTTAGTTTTAGCTTAAGAATATAGCATGGGGGCACCTGGGTGGCTCAGTGGGTTAAGCCTCTGCCTTCGGCTCAGGTCATGATCTCGGGGTCCTGGGATCGAGCCCCATGTTGGGCTCTCTGCTCAGCGGGGAGCCTGCTTTCACTCTGCTCCTTTCTCTCTCTCTCTCTCTCTCTCTCTGCCTGTTTCTCTGCCTACTTGTGATCTCTCTCTGTTAAATAAATAAATATTAAAAAAAAGAATATAGCATGTTACTCAGCTATATAAGTGTTCAGTGGCAGATATTAAAATGTATAATTGTCTTTTTACCATACTCTGAAATATTTAACTGAATATTTTAATCTTCCTGTTCATGCTAGTGACTTTTCAGTCACTTTTTAAAGAGTAAATGATCAATCCCTGCATTCTTAACCATCAGTGATTAACAGTTAATATTTGATAAAGAAACAAAGCAATCTATACTGACAACAGCCGGTTAGATGCTATGGGTGTGACCACTTAAATAACAGGAATAATCCGGATTTTTTAAAAAGTTCATGGGTGAAATAGATGAAGGTGGTCAAAAGATACAAACTTCCAGTTATACAATAAAAAAGTCCTGGGGAAGTAATGTAAGCAGGGCGAATATAGTTAATAATTCTGTATTGTTTATCCAAAAGTTGCTAGGAGGGTAAATCTTAAGAGTTCTCTTCACAAGAAAAAAAACGTAAATGCGATGAATGTTAGCTAACCTTATCATGGTAATCATTTTGCAATATATATATATATCACATCATTATGTTGTACACCTAAAATTACTACAATGTCATATGCCAATTAGGTCAGTTCTAAAAATAATAAATAAAAAGAAAGCTCACTGTCTTATCTTGAGATAAATTTAAGTATGTACACCCGATCTGAGATTATAATGAATTTTGAATAGAATCTGAACCTTCAGGTTTGAGCAAGCAGTTATGTTTTAAGTCAAGCTTCAGCCGACTATCACATAAAGTTTTAGCTGGTCTTGGTAACAGTCTGTCCTGCCGCCAGTCTTTTGTCCTCTGAGATACAGATGGCATCTATCAGTGACGCTGTAGGGTTATGTGGGAGACCGTCAAGAAATAGAAAAGTAAAAACAGAATAAAATCGCATTACACGGAGTTTCCCTTAAAACAAAAATTGATTGAGTTCTGCCCGAAGTGGCTTGTTGTTTCCTGTGCCAGGAACTACTGTGCGGGCCCAGCAGGAAGTGTGCTCCGAAGCGGGATCACATTACACCCTTGTTTTATGGTTCATTTCACTTATTTAATGCAATCTGAGAACCTGCAAAGGGAACATGTTAGAAGGAGGGAATGGGCTTTTTGTCTTGTTTTGTTTTGTTTTTTTAAGTTTCTTTGAATCCAAACATTTGTTTTTACAAGGTGCTTACAGCCCCCAGAAGTGGGACTTGCAGAGAGTTGCAAGGGGAAGGCATTTCTCTTTGTCACAAAATTCAAAGCAAGACCTGAAGTTGGGTTATGTCTAGGGTTGAGTTATGTCTGTTTCCTTTGCGGTCCTACTTCCATAATTTTAAACGTGAAGTACTGCCATCATGCCCATGAATGGTCTAAATCATTCTGAATTCATAGGAGCCCCTCTTAGGGGCTCTCATTTGACAGAGAGCCCGAGATGGGCTGGGGCTGGGGTAGGAGCGGTAAGGAATATCTTTAAGATTCAAAACAGCGGTTCATTGGTCAAGTGAAAGAACGTATTGCTTGAAAATGTGTGGAGGGAACAGCTGGATTCCCTGGTGGTGGCGGACTCCGCTTCTCACGTGCTGTCTGTTTTCCTCTCCAGAGACCTCAGTATGAACAACATCAGTCAGCTGCCCCCGAATCCCCTGTACAGCCTCCGCTTCCTAGAGGAGTTGTAAGTATTGCGTAGTAGTGATGCGTCCAGTCAACACTGAGCACATTCCTGGGTTTGCCCCTCACACTCACTGTGGGAACCAGATAAAACAAGGCAAAAAAGCTGTCAGCACCAACAATTTTGGCACATGAGGAAACACTTAGTTGGGAGGGGAGAAAAAAAGAAATTGCCTAAGATTCTGGAAATCAACTTATAAAGGAGTTGACCATAAGGCTACAACTTTCTAAGGTGAGACTTGAGCCAAACAAATTAAAATTTTAAAACAAAGGCAGTTTAAGAGGCCTGGATGTCTCTTTGGAAATAGTTAAGTGGCAGGATATTAAAAGTTTGAATACCGGTTCATGTTTATTAAAATAGCAAGTAAAGCTATAATCAAAACCAAAAACTGCCGCTTGGTTCGGGTTGTGATGGGGAGAATGAAGTCCACATTCCGTAGCACCAAAACTTTTTGTCCTAATCACTTTTAATTACTATTTTCCTACTTCTTAATTTAGCTTCCCTCAAGGCTTGAACAGAAAAACATGAAATCCACAGAGGACTTCAAACTGGGCTATCCAAACTCCCTGTAAAAAAAATAAAAAAGGAGGAAGCTAAAATTAGCTAATGATACACAGAGGAGTCTTGATTAAGTCTCGTAATCACTTTCCAGAAGATGAAAAAGAACTGTATAATCCAAAAATTTGTATTTAAAAATTCATTTGATCCTCTTACCCTTTGGAATGATGGAGACGAAGGGAGCCATGTGCCATCGCAGTCCTCATGAAGAAAGTTTGGCACCATCCCTTGAGTACATCTTCTGACTGTTGATTAAAGGAATTGTGTAGGCAATGACCTCTTTTGAAAATACTTCCTTTATAAATCCAAAAGTCAGGGTCCAATCTGGGGAGTAATTTAAATGGTTGATGCACTGCGTGATCCACCCCGGGAAGTGGGAAGAATGTTCCATCATACCCAGATTACACTGCATCAATCTTTTCCCTTTGCAAGAAGATGACATTCTCAAATTTCTCCCCTTAGGGTTTTATCTATATTTTTGATAGCCTTATATTTTTAGCAAATGCTGTTGTCTAACCACTGAAATCAGTTGACCATATGCCCAGGTTGTTATCCAGGAATATGTTGGGGAAGCTCAGATGACAAGACTCTGCAGCAAGTTTTGATCAATCAGAGTTTTTCACTCTGGGTTGTCCACGCTCCTCTTTTCCCCTTTTCTCTCTAGCCATTTCCGTGGCTAAAAAGTAACCTTGATCAGGGCTGAGTCCTTGTCTATCTTAGTCGTGGCTTGTATGTGATAATAATCAATACATTTTTGATGAACAAATGAATACTGAGAAAGCAAAACATGTAAAAGGAGCTTCTCATCCAAGTTAGCTGCCTTAGGAAAAAGCAACAGACATGGTAGACATTTGCCAAAATTTCTATTGACTACCTTTAGCAACTTTCAGTTAGGGTTTTTTCCTGATTTCCATCCTTCTCATCTTCCCTTCCTCACCATAATTAATACACGATGCTTGGTCCTATGTACACCCCCAACCCCGCATTTTGAAAGTGTGTATTTGCTATGCTTTCTTCTGTCATTTCCTTACACTACGCGATGGTACAAGGCTTCCATTCTGTGTCAACATGCACCTCCACTTTAGACCCCAAACTGAATCAATAAAGTCCTTCCCCAAGGACTTTGTTTAATAGAATTCCTCCCTCAGTGACCCCAACTCATTCTAAATAACTCCTCTTTCTTAAGGAGGTAAATGTTAATTCTGTTCCCAGGCCAGTTTTTCAAAAGACCATTGAAAAAAGTCAAGGAAAAAAAAAGAGGGAGGGAACTACCATTTGAAAAAGATATTTTTCTGTATTGTCTTATATTTATATCTGGAAACGCCATTAAGTGTCTTGACTGTGAAACCATAGAATTTCAGAAATAGAGGAGACCCTTAAAGGGCTATTCATTCTAGTTTTTCATTCTCTTCTGGAATTCCCTCTGCTGAGCTGGCCGAGCATAATTCAAAAGCTAGACCACTTTCTCATATATAATTCTGTGTTGCATCTGACTGATGTTTTGAAGACATCATTATTCATTTCGCAGCAAAAGGGGATAGTATTTATAGAATCTGGAAAAATGATCAACTCTGCTTGGTTTATTCTTTTGTTCCCAAGGCTAATTTGGGGGTGTTGTGTTTAAAACAAAACAAACCATAACAAAAAAGCAAATGTTTTGTAGAGCATTGCAATTATTCCTCTGTTATGCTGTGGATAGTTTCTACTAGATTTAGCTATGTGTAACTCTATATTCTCTTCTAGAGTATAAGGTCTTCAAAATAATATTATATTATAATGACAACAATCATAGTTTAGTCTGTGCCATGCAGTGTTCAAAATGTTTTATACACTTTTTCCCACGAATCCTCCTGACAGCCCCATAAAGGTAAATATTCTTATGATTCCCATTTCATAGATTAAAAAAAAAAAAAAGATGAAGTACAGAGAAAATTAAGGAACTGGTTCAAGATCATGCAGTGACAAGAGGCAAGGCTAAGATTCAACCTCACCTTCCAAGCCACACTCAGAAAGTAGAGGGAACATTAGGAATTGTGCATAGTTCTTCTGTGCTTTTATTTTCCCTAATAGTACCTGGAACAGTGGTTTGCACAGTTGAATCCTTGAAAGTGTTGTTTAGGGGCGCCTGGGTGGCTCAGTGGGTTAAGCCTCTGCCTTTGGCTCAGGTCGTGATCTCGGGGTCCTGGGATCAAGCCCCACATCGGGCTCTCTGCTCAGCAGGGAGCCTGCTTCCCCCTCTCTCTCTGCCTGCCTCTCTGCCTACTTGTGATCTCTCTCTCTCTGTCAAATAAATAATTAAAAATCTTTAAAAAAAAAAAAAAGAAAGAAAGAAAGAAAAAGAAAAGAAAGTGTTTAAACCAAGTTTTGTAATGATAGTTCTGTCATATATTTGTCGGTCTGTGCATGTGTGGAGGGATGAAAAAGAGAGAGTAAGAGAGAGAGCTGTCTACCCAGTGGATGAGATTAGATATTCAGGTTATTAATTTACTACCATCACCTATTGTTGACAATGGAGAAGTATCATCAGAATTTTCAGTTGTAACATATCGCCAATTTAGCATTGCTCAACAGATACAAAACTTTAGTGAATATTTTACAACTGCATGCATACACTTAAGCCATTTGTTTTATATAGTATACTATCAGAACTAGCAAATGACAGCCATACAGCTAGAGACGGACATTATTTTCCCCAAAATTTTTTAAAAATTCTAGTTAGTTAATCTATAGTGTAAAATTGATTTCAGGAGTAGAATTTATTGATTCATTACTTAGATACAATACTCAGTGCTCATCCCAGTTGCCCTCCTTAATGCCCATGTAACCCATCCCCCTGCCCACCTCCCTTCCAGCAACCCTCAGTTTGTTCTCTTTGGTTAAAAGTCTGTTTCTTGGTTTGTTTTCCCCTCTCTCTCTTTTTTCCCCTTCCCATATGTTCTAGATACAGACATTTAGAGATCTGTCATTGTGTGTATGTGTATGTATCTTTTGTTATGACTATAGAGCACTATTCTAGAAGTATTCTTTCATTCAGTTTATTCAGCTCATCTCTATGCTTTATTTAATAGCCATAAAATAGGAAATTGCTACTATTAATGATATTAATAAAACTCCTACCACAAAACTCAATTTTTAAAAAATCATTATTAATAAAGGCAAGTTACTACTCTTCCCATTCGCACAAATCACCCCCACTTAATCATTTCCCTGATTTAATCATTTAACTATGTTACAAACTGTAGACAGCCATGATTCATCCCTCATCCATCCCTGGAGCTAGACAAAGGTGTCAGGTTTTAAAATCCTCTAAGAATCCATAAAGCCCTACAGGTACTCACTGAGTCAGTGTTTAGAAATATATGTATATTATAGCCCTGGAGAAAGTGTTTGCCTGAGGCAAATATTTAGAAGGAATAAGGGGCATCACCTTGAATGGTCTCCTCTCCCTCCTGAGGTGCCAGAATGCTTACTACCTGGGCCATGTATGTTGGCACATTCAAGTCATGTTCATCCTCTGTTACTTACTTTTTTAATCTACATGGTGACCAGATGAGCATAGGCCAAATGTCCTATTGCTGCAAGGGGAAGGAAAGCCTTTTCCTCTTGGAAAAAAAAACAAAAACCATAATTGAGTGTGGTAAGGCTGCGCTATACAGAGAGAAAAGCACAGTGTCTGGACGCCAAGCCCAGGACTCTCGTCCCGTCCCTGCCATTTACTAGCTGATAATCCATTTGACCTCCCTGGGCCTCAGGGGATAATGGTGAGAGCTGCCCTGGCTGCCTTTGGAGATGTTTCTGAGAATCGAATGAAAGGATGATGAGAGAACTTTGCTAAATTCTAATCCACGTACCGAGTTCCATTAATAAACTGAGAACACCTTCGAGAAGATTCTGACCTCTTCCTTTCCTATTTCCTGAGCCTGATTTTGCGGTAACCCGGGGATTCAGGACTTAGGAAAGAAAAGCTGTTTCGAACTGTGAGCTTTAATGGATGTATACGATCAACGCAGAAGAGTTCTTTACCGAATTTGAGCATCCTGAGCGCTAATTGCATTTCTCTCCAACAGTGTCTCTCTCGGTTCTGTTGATTCAGTTCTACCAGGGACTCACGTTAATGTTCGCTATTTAGACAAACAGAAGAGCCTACATTTGGTCCCTCGGAGTGTGTTCAGATGTTAGGAGCTAATGGCAGAGCGTGCCTAATGCTGACATCTACAGGCCCCATTAAACTTAGATTCGTAGTCTGATTAAACCAGAGGGGGAAATGAACTGTTACCATTTTAAACAGTATGAGTTGGAGGCCTTTGTTTCCAAGTAGTATTTTAAAATCTTTCCAGATTCTGATGCTATTGGAATCAAATATTCGATTTAGCAGTCAAGGAAACATGAGAAGCTCTAGGGAGGTCTGTTTTTAAGTTACTATTGTTCCCTGAAACTATTTGCTC